CTCCCCTCCCCTCTCCTCCCCTCTCCTCTTTTACTCTACAAATTTCAAACTCCCCCCTTTTTAGTCTTTCACTTTACAGCTTTCTATTCCCAAACACTTAATGACTATATATATATATATATATATATATGTATATGTATAAAGGCACACACATTAGACAAGGAATTAAATAGATAAATTAAATGTTCTAAATTTTCGGGTGTTACGTAAAGCGAATAAAATAAGATATGATTTATTTAAATAAAAAAATTAATTATGTTAAAGATGATTTAATTTTATTATATTTTTTTTCTATCATTGCAATAAACAAGCTTATTATAGATATTTTAACACCAAAATAAATGAATATTTTTATATTTAGTCATACTATTAAATATGATAAATACATACAAATTAATTTTTTTATTCGAGTGAACTACCATTTTCGTCTCTATCATTTGTAATTTATCGTTATTTTCGTTTATGAGACTAAATTTATTAAAAATCCTTCTTTAAATTAGGGTATTTTAGTCTTTTTTGATTTTTTTTGGTTGATTAAATATCGTATATAACTAATATCAAATGGACAAAAAAAAAAAAGACAAGAATAACATACCATTGACATTTTAATTTCTCGATTTTAAATCAAAATACACACTATAATATCATACAGATACCTTATTATTAATATATTAAACTTATGCTTCTTGTGTTGAACTTATCAACAAAAACGGTTAGTAAAACATTATAACCAACGGTTGATAAGTAAAACACAAATATTGCATTTTAATTCGATTAAAATAATATATTATTAGTTATTGGTTGCAAAGCAAATTAAAATGTAAAATTATTAAGTTAAGAAAATAAAAGAGAAAAGGAACGCACGGACGCTTCACGTGCAACCAGCAGATTTCGTAACGGGAAGAAACGAGAGAATTCTGAGCGATTCTTTCGTCTTCTCCAGCCTTCAAATTCCATTACCAACTGTTTTCGTGTTCATCGAACAACAAATAATCCAATTCGGAGTGATTATACCTTCTTTGATCTTACATGACGATGATTCGGAGGATCGCCACCGCCAGACTTACTAAATCCGCTCTTATCGCCGCCGTTGATGGCTCTACTTCCGCCTCCCGCCGTCAGTCTCAGTCTCCATTCCGGTTATCCTCTCTTGCTCGCGCATGCGACGTTATCTCTCCCTCCTCCTCCTCTGATGCTATCAGGTCTGGGATTTCTGCCAACGACAGACCTTACTTTCTTCGAGGTTTCATTGGACACAACAGGATTTCTTCATCACTTCCTCGTCTTTATTCCACTATCTCCAATCCTTCTCAGGTGAAAAAAGGAACTTGATATTGTAATAGTTGTAGAATTAGTGAATTAAACCCCTCATCCCAAAATGCCCATTTTTGAAGTCTAAACTGACGAAATTGTTTGATGAAAAGAACCAATTTTGAATTATTTTTTTCAGATTTTGCGCTTTTAAGCTCTATATTGTAAGAGTTCGTTTGGAATTAATAAATTATCGCTGTATATAAACCTTGTAAACCCTGATATGTCTCCTTGGCTAGCTTAAAACCTGTATACAAAATCAGCTTAGAAAACGGGATGCAACACCACAATTGGGCACATTGATCTGTTAAACCGAACCAAAGGGTCTGTGGTTGTTTCTGTGAAGACCCCGGCTTGTGAGGTTAAGTAGTACTTCAGACTTGATCAAACACCAATCATCAAATTGATCATAAGACATATGAATACCGCCTACAATAACAGGAATAGTTTTAACCGGTGTCAAGTAGAACATCTAGAAGGTATAGTTTGGTTGGTTTTTGCAAAGTTGTGTTACGAGGGACTGAAAGATGACGAAGAATGGAAAATTCATGGAAATGCATAAAGAGATGCTTAGCGATGTAAGAGTTGGATAAGCAGAAACTGAGAAGAATGTGAATAAGGAGACAAATTTCTGATAGATTTCAAGTTGTGTGGCCTTAAGTGTAAAAGCATGGATGGCACAAAGGATGAGTGAGAGAAGTCTCGAATGATTCTGTTGGTGCCAGAAGGTAGTATATATAGAGAAGTAGTAATCACTGTGATATTGATAATATTGTGACATTGTCAATATTGGTTTTTCCAGATGGCTTACTTCCAGGTGAGATAATATCGTGATTCAATAATAGACTCCAGGAAGAATTTTTGGGTCTTACTAGTCAAAACATCATTATGGTGTTCTGTTATTATATACAGAGAAGTAGTAATCATTGTGATATTGATATTGCATGTATGTATATTGGTATTGGAACTCCATACACTTGCTATATATAGAGAAGTAGTAACCATTGTGAGGAATATAAATTAGATCTCTTCTACATTCATATTTTATCTTTCATAAAAAATATTCTTGATATACCAATATAGCATGTGTTTTTCATGTCTTGTGCATTCTTCCTGTAATCTTTGATGTTTTTCCTGTTGAAATATTAGTTCAATAATAAGGATTACACCGAGATGGCATGGGAGGGGATTGTTGGTGCTGTAGAGGCTGCACAAGGTAGAAGACAAATTGTAGAATCCGAGCATTTAATGAAATCCCTTTTGGAGCAAAAGGATGGGTTAGCAAGAAGGATACTAACCAAGGCCGGGCTGGACAACACATCAGTTTTGCAAGCTACAGATGACTTCATAGCTCAACAACCAAAGGTATGGACGTCAATAAGTTGTTGATGTGAGCTTCAGAGGTTCCTCATTACACTAGGTACTCTTTTGCAGGTCAGTGACACCAGTAGGCCTGTACTCGGGTCACATCTCAGTTCTTTGTTGGACAATGCGAGAAAGTATAAAAAAGAAATGGGAGATGACTTTGTTTCTGTGGAACATTTTATATTGGCATTCCCTTCAGATAAAAGGTTTGGAAAACAGTTGTTCACGAACTTGCAGCTAAGTGAGCAGACATTGAAGGATGCTGTTCAGGCTGTCCGTGGAAGTCAGAAAGTGACAGATCAAAGTATAATCACCATCTTCTTTTATTCTAAGTTAACTCTTATATCTATCATCACACTTGTGATTATAATGTCTCTATTTTAATACAGACCCTGAAGGGAAATATGGGGCACTTGAAAAATATGGCAGTGACTTGACTGAACTTGCTAAAAGGGGTAAGCTCGATCCGGTCATAGGTAGGGATGATGAAATCCGGCGGTGCATACAGATTCTATCTAGAAGAACAAAAAATAACCCTGTTATCATTGGTGAGCCTGGTGTGGGGAAAACCGCAATTGCTGAAGGGTATGGTACTTTACTTCTTACCAAGAATCAAAGCTGTACATGTCAATTTGTTTGTAGTTGTATTCAATGTTATGTGTGGAATAATAAGTAATATGGACATCGATCCACCTTTATTTGTTTCCTTGACCTAGTTTAAGAATTGCACATAAAGCATATTTGGTGTCAACATTAGCACTCATTAGTCTCAAAGGTGACAGCCCCTATAAAATGTGATTCTTTATACACTTGTTATTAAAACTATACATTGTACACTATTGTTTGAGTATCTAAATGGGGGTTTGTAGACCATTTTTCATCCCCCCGGGCGAAAGACCTGTTGTGAACTTGTGATTCTCTATATGACTCCTTTACATTTATTCTTAAACCATGGAATTATATTTATGGTGTAGGTTAGCTCAACGGATTGTGCGTGGAGATGTTCCAGAGCCTCTTAAGAATCGTAAGGTTATAACAACTTTCCATTTTGTCATTGGATATTTTTGGTGTAGAAAGTGTTTTATTGTGTAGTACCAACACTGATATCAGTCAATTACATGCATAAATAATGCTGGTCAAAGATTTGCCTTACAAATCATGGTCAATATCTTCTACATAACATCTTACATGCATTCACCTTTCTCTGTGTTGATTTGCAATTCTTCAATGATGCAGCTGATCTCTCTCGATATGGGCTCTTTGCTTGCTGGTGCTAAATACCGAGGTGACTTTGAGGAGAGACTTAAAGCTGTTCTGAAGGAGGTTACAACTTCTAATGGTCAAATTGTTTTATTCATTGATGAGATCCACACTGTAGTTGGTGCAGGTCAGTTATCAATTATTGTTGTTAACAGATCTTATCAAGTGTTCCCTAATTTCTTCTTCTTCTTTTTTTGATTGAATTCCCTTGAAGAAGATCAATATGACTTCTAATACAACAACCTTGAATTTAATGTTAAATATGTTGAATCTACTAAGTCCTATCTTGACGCTTTATTTATTTAAGATAAATTGATGTTAATCGTTTGTACAGGAGCTAGTGGTGGAGCGATGGATGCTGGAAATTTGTTGAAACCAATGCTTGGTCGAGGTGAGCTTCGATGTATCGGAGCAACCACATTAAATGAGTACAGGAAGTACATTGAAAAGGACCCTGCTTTGGAACGTAGATTTCAACAAGTATTTTGTGATCAGCCGTCCGTTGAAGACACAATTTCTATTCTCCGTGGATTGCGTGAGCGCTATGAACTGCATCATGGGGTCAAAATATCTGATGGTGCTTTGGTTTCGGCAGCTGTTCTTGCTGATAGATACATTACGGGACGCTTTTTGCCAGACAAAGGTTAGAACAATGTTGGTGTTTTAATTTGGATTTGTATGTGTTTAGGTAACACCATCATTTTTAAGTATATAATATTTATATACAGAAAAGTTTACACACACTCCTCCCTTTTGGTGAGGCTAGTTAAGACATCTTGTCGAGAATGTGAATATTCGTTACGTATTAATATTAGTTCATCATTGCAGCAATTGATCTGGTAGACGAATCTGCTGCAAAACTTAAAATGGAGATTACCTCTAAGCCAACTAACTTGGATGAGATAGATCGAGCCGTGCTCAAGCTCGAGATGGAGAAGCTCTCTTTCAGAAACGGTACTGATAAAGCATCCAAAGAAAGGTTGGCCAAGCTAGAAAGTGACTTAGAATCCTTGAAAAAAAAACAAAAAGAGTTGAATGAACAGTGGGAGCGCGAAAAGTTACTAATGACCCACATAAGGTCAATCAAGGAGGAGGTGGTTACCATATTTTATATTCTGTCAATATCAATTCTCTCGATTATTACTCATTTTCATGCAATTTATTCACTATAATTTTCTTACAAAAGATTGATAGGGTAAACCAAGAAATGGAAGCCGCGGAACGTGACTATGATCTTAACCGTGCAGCCGAGCTTAAATATGGAACACTGATTAACCTTAATCGCCAGCTAGAAGAAGCCGAGAGAAACCTTTCGGACTATCAACAATCTGGGAAATCAATGCTGCGTGAGGAAGTTACAGACATCGACATTGCTGAAATTGTAAGCAAATGGACTGGTATTCCATTATCAAATCTTCAGCAGTCGGAAAGAGAGAAACTTGTATCACTGGAACATGTTCTTCATAAGAGAGTCGTCGGTCAGGATATGGCGGTGAAATCTGTCGCAGATGCAATAAGACGTTCAAGGGCCGGACTTTCCGATCCAAACAAACCTATTGCAAGTTTCATGTTCATGGGTCCTACCGGTGTTGGTAAGACCGAGCTTGCAAAGGCCCTAGCCAGTTACCTCTTCAACACGGAGAATGCTCTTGTGAGAATTGATATGAGCGAGTATATGGAGAAACACGCTGTCTCACGGTTAGTTGGTGCACCCCCCGGATACGTTGGCTATGAAGAAGGCGGCCAACTTACTGAAACTGTGCGCAGAAGGCCATACTCTGTTGTTCTTTTCGATGAAATAGAGAAGGCACACCATGATGTCTTCAATATTCTGCTACAGTTGTTAGATGATGGCCGAATAACCGATTCGCAAGGAAGGACTGTCAGTTTTACGAATTCTGTTGTTATAATGACATCTAATATCGGTTCTCATTACATACTTGAAACGCTTCAAGCCACGCATGATAGCAAGGATGCAGTTTATGATTTGATGAAAAGGCAGGTTGTTGAATTGGCTAGGCAAACTTTCCGACCAGAGTTTATGAATCGTATTGACGAGTATATCGTTTTCCAACCACTCGATGCCACACAAATCAGAGAGATTGTTGAGATTCAGGTACCATAATTCCCGATTTAGATGTTAATTAATACTCTTGTTGAAGTATAAATGTGATCCCGTAACCTGGTTGTTACTGTATTGCAGTTGAATCGTGTTAAAGCTAGGTTGAAACAGAAGAAAATCGATCTTTGCTACACAAAGGAAGCCACCGATATCCTTGGAAAACTAGGCTTCGACCCCAACTTTGGAGCACGGCCAGTGAAGAGAGTGATACAACAGATGGTGGAAAATGAAATCTCAATGGGTATACTCCGAGGAGATTTTAACGAAGACGATACTTTAATAGTCGACCGTTGCCCATCAGCTAAGGACGCTGTGCATATCAGGAAAGCGGGTAGCCAATCGAGCATTGAGGGCATGGTTGCAGACGCTTAAAGAAGCCATAGTTTTGGTCTTTCTGACCTGGTACATAGATCTGGTTACTTGTTAAGATTGTCTGACATGTCTTTTTGCATGCTCATGGAGCGACTAGTTAGCTGTTTCTGCTGCTAATAAGCATTATAATTGTGATTGGTTTGTACAAATAAAAAGTTGACAGCAAAAAAAGAGATCCACATAGAGGAACAAACAAGAAGACGATCAACTATGATAAATCAAGAAGCAATATTAAACCTACCGACCTTATAATTGGGAAGTGTTGGAGTTGGTAACATCACATGGTTAAAGCACTCCCTTTGTTTTATTCCAATTTTGTGCTTTTGTTTGTTGGATGACAGATGGAATTCCTTCTTCTGCTACGTGCCTAATTCAACATTCCACTTTAATTTATTTTTAAATCTATGTTTATCATACATAATTTTAATACAATTAACTTATCAGCTATTAACTAATTTTTTAAATGATGATTTATCATAAATTAAAAAAAACAAAAAAAACACAGCACATGGTTTAATGTTTATAAAAAGTAGGAAATGAACAGTTGGAGACTTGTGTCTCAATTTTTACTCTCCGTCGTCTTCTTCAAGAAACTTCACCTTTTACCGTTTACTTTTCTACTCATACTCTCTCTGAATCCCACGTATTTTACTCTGTGTATGTGTAAGACTCAGGTGATACCATTCCTACTTACAATGTAGCTCTCATTTCAAGCTATTAAGCAACAACCTGCCGGCAAAATATGGCAGAGTTTCAACAAAACCATCGACGATCGCTTGTTCTCGACCACCCAACACCCACAACAGTCGACGGAGATGCTCATTTCAAGCTGTGGTCCTCATGCCGCCGCAAAATTATTGACGCCATGAGATGCACCGGTGGGATATCTCGTTACCGGAAGACTGTCAAGTCTCCGGTGGCGAAGAATCACAAGCTGGAAGAGATGAAGACTTCCACGGCTGAATGTAGATCCGATACGAATAAGAACAATGGTAACCATGAAGTTTCCGAGAAGCTTCCGGAGTTGATGAAGATGCCGGAATTGTCTTCGTTGGTGGACGTGAGGTTGAAAGAGGTGGTGAAACGGTTGCAGTGCGGAGGAGACGGCGACGCCTTGGGAGGAGCCAGGGAAGTGAGGGAGTTAGCCAAGGACGATTCAGAGGCTCGAACGAATTTGGCATTGCTTGGAGCCATTCCACCGCTCGTTGCAATGCTTGATTCCGACCATCTCGATTCCCAAATCTCTGCTCTGTACGCTCTTCTCAATTTGGGAATCGGCAATGACCTGTAAACACCTTTCTCTCTAAAACACATATTTCCAGATTTAATGCCACAATGATTCAATTGCAGATTAGATCTTGTTCTTAATTCATTGGTGTGATGCAATTTGGATGAACATATTTTTTTTAGAATTAACCGTTTCTTCTTCTGTTTGATGTCAATTTCAGGAATAAATCCGCCATTACTGAATCAGGAGCAGTACACAAGATGCTAGATCTAGTTGAATCTCCAAACGAGGGTTTACCCAACCCAGATTTATCAGCAGCAATTGTTGCAAATTTTCTCGGATTAAGCGCTCTTGATTCGAACAAACCGATCATTGGATCTTCAGGAGCCATTTCTTTCTTGATCAAAACCCTCAAAACCAACACAAATTCACAGGTGATACAAGATTCTCTGAGGGCACTCTATAATCTATCCATCTTGCCATCAAATGTTTTACCAATGATCGAGATCAACGATTTCCTATCATTTCTCTTGACCATGATGGGAGGCACCGAATCAAGCGATAGAATCCTGTCGATTCTGAGCAACGTTGTGTCGACCCCCGAGGGTCAAACCGCGGTTGGTACCGTCACCGATGCATTCCCGATCTTGATCGATGTTTTGAGTTGGATGGATTCACCTAATTGCCAAGAAAAGGCAACATACATTTTGATGGTGATGGCTCACAAGTCATACGGGCATCGACAAGCCCTAGTTGAAGCTGGCATCATGTCCTCGCTTCTTGAATTAACTCTTTTCGGTAGCACTTTAGCGCAAAAGAGATCCTCAAGGATTTTAGAAATCCTGAGGATCAACAAAGGGAAAGAAGCTTCAAAAACGTATGGGGGAGGCGTATCAGCGCCCCTTTATGGGTCCGTTGATGCAGAATCTACGGACCCATCAAACTGTTCTTCCAAGAGCAGTGCGGTAAGGCACCTGGTCGAACTAAGCTTGCAAAACAATATGAGGAGGATAGTGAAGAGGGCAAATTTGCCACAAGATTTCGTGCCGTCGGAGCATTTGAAGAAGTCGGTTGCGTCATTTTCGACTTCAAAGAGCTTACCGTTTTGAGATGAATTTGATCGTTGTATGATTTAGCGTGGGTTAGGATATGGTGTTTATTTGTTCTTGTACCGATAGAATGATGAATGTTTTTTGAACGTTACATGTGCATAGTAGAATAATATGTTTCTTTAAAACCTTTGACATCTTACTCTCATGCATAGGCCCCACAAAAACAGGTCCAAAACGATAAAAATTGAATCTTTTAAGCTCTTATTTTAAAAATAAAACAAATGTTTTTAATATCTAAACGTCTGAACGAATCAGATTTAAGAGATATTAAGAAGTAATTTTGAAAAAACAAACAAACCCTTAATGCAACACATACATGTTCTTCTTGACAAAGTTTCAATTTTTTTTTTAATATCTATTTTGATCAGTAACTTATTGATGTTGTAACTTTTTATAACGTGGATGCTCGTTTATAAAAAGATTTAAAAAAAATTGAAATGTTTACAGCAAAGTGGGAGGATGTTTAGCATCTGTATTATCAAATATTACAAAATTAACTTGAATAAAAATAACGAAATTTTATTTAGTTGTTTTAAAGTTGTATATCTATACTATATTATAAAGCATATGATAAAAACTTTTAAAACTCATTTTTTTATGCATAAAGTACTGTTTATTGATATACATTACTTAAAATTCAATATTACAACTAATTAAAGCTCTATGTTTAAATTCGTGTAACTAACTACATATAGATATAATCAACTACATAATAAATATTACATTTTAAATATAAAAAATATAAAATATAATTAAGATAAATATTATGTTCTAACAAAATATTTAATTATTATACTTATAAAATTATATTATAAAACCTAAAATAAATTAATTCTGTTATMAAATCTAAAATAAATTATAATAAGAAGATTGAACTAAAAATTAATCTTTATATAAAAATCATATCATTAGATCTAAAATAAATTTCTTCGTTATTAAACCTTAAATTAAATTATCTTAAAAAATTGAACTAAAAAATATATAAAACACGAGAACTTATTAACTTGTTAGTTTGATACTAATATAGATAAAAAAAATTATAGGACTTAAACTTTATATTTTATTTTAATATAAAAACATTATTGTTTTTTCAAAACTATATTATAAAATAAAACATTAAAATTGAGATGTATATAACTGCATTTACGAGTATGCTTTCAGTTCCAAATTAAAAAAAACCAAATGTTTTTTTTATTAAATTTATGGTATGCTTAATGACCGAATCTGTACATGTCGATCTTGTTTTAATTTATGTTATTTGGGATCTTTTTGGTTCATATTTAAATCATGGAGTACATTTTGGAGGTTAAAGTATTTTTAATATATTTTTTAAAATTGAAAATTAAAAATTAAAAATTAAAATCTTAAAATAAAAATTTTAGAATTCTTTAAAAGCTTAAATATTACAATATAAATTATATTATTAAAATGTTTAATATTTTTTGTAAAAAAATATTTTTATTTTCTATGTATTTAATTTCAAGAATTCTTATGAGTAAAAATATTAAAAAGTAATTATTTTTCAAATATAATAATTTTTGTAGAATTCTTCAAATTTGAGAAAATTAGATTTTTCTCTTCTACTTTCTCTGTTTTAAGAAGGTTTTTGAAGAATATGTTAGAAGCAAAAAACTTCAAAATCTCTAATCTAAAAAATCTGTTGAAAACGATCTAACAAATAAATGATAAAAAATTCATCTGAATTCATTAATGAATTTTGATAATTACTTTTCTTTTTCATTAACCTGGATATCCAACCTGTTATATGAGTTAATTAATCCCAAGACAGCTACCTGCTTTACGGATAGTCCGGAGTCACTGCATTTGAACTTCCGTAGTTACAAGGGGTTTTTTTATTACGCTTTGGCTTTGAATCTGTGACTTCCAGGTACTTTTGGCCTTTGAGTCCAAGCTCAAACCGATCAGAAATCATCCTTATGGTTAATGACTACTTAAATGCAAATAAATACATCGAATTTGTAGAAGACTTCATGGCAACTTGTAGGGTAAAACCGGAACTTTGGTCCATGTGGTTTGTTTCAAATAACAATTTAAAAATTACAATATGATCGTCATAATTTATAGATGGAACTAGACTTGTTATGCCAGTAACTCTTTTTTTAATTATTTTACTTTAAATTAAATATTTTTTATTGATTGTTAAATATCGTACACATACATTGGATCTAATTAAGATTTAAACCTCCTTAAAAGTAATTAATATGCATACGAATCTTTTTTTGATTTTTATTTATGGTTTCAAATTGAATATTAGTTTTAAATCTTGGAATTTTCAACTAAAAACGTGGATCATGATTCTCCTTTGCATGCCCACGCTTACACTATCTTTATCTTTAATTAATGTTAAATCAAAGATTAAGGTTTTATGTTCTTCTTAATATTTTAATTCTTTTTTAATTAATTATATGGATTTTAAAGCTTGTTTCATATTTATGTTATTTTAGAGCATTCTCAACATGTATGTTTCTTTTAAATTTAGAGATTTTTCATTCTCTATTATCGTTTTCTATATTTTTGATTATATTGTTAATTTTCTGTGTATTTTAGATAAGTTAAAATATTTATATATGATTGTTTATCGTTTATTCAGTCAAAAACCATACAGTCCAAAAATAAAAAAATCGATTTTGATTGGGTAAAAAACAAAACCAAAAAAAATCCATAAATGGATGAGAATGTCTCTTATTTAACAGAATTTTTAACGACCTTTAGAGAAAGAAACCAAATCCAAACGATTTTGCAAATCAATGACTGTCTTATAATAAAACTATAAAGACAAGAATTTTGGTGTCAATAATTACTGCTTTTTATAAAGGTTTGTTTCTTGTTAAAGAAAGATAGCGTTTAACTTTTCGTGACAAATCGCTAACTTGTTTCCACTTGCAAAATTATTATTTTTTAAATTGAATTTAAATATAAATTATAAACAATAAAACATTAAAAAAATATATGAAATTGATTTGTCAGTTATAAATTTACGTGAAGAAGATAAATAAAAAAGACTTTCTTTTTCACGACAATGAATATTTTATTTATACAAAAATCCAAAATATATGATAAAAAGGGGAAAATATAATTGCTTGAAGACAATCCCTTCCTGTTAAGTCACATTCATGGGTTTTATTGCACGTAAAACAACACAACAAATAAATAAAAAGAAAATATAATATGTGTATATACTTTTGATTTGAATAATTGAATATTTACATTTTTATAAACAAATAGAAGTTTAGCAGCTTGGCTTCAATCAAGACCGGATCTTTATCTGTCTTATTGGGTGAAAATGGGAGAGGAATGACTAGGAGATAAATTGATCCGTAAAATGGCTATTTTTGTCAAAATTCCTTTATAAAAACATGCCCAATCAGGTCCGTCATATATAAAAACATGCCCAATCAGGTCCGTCATATCAAAAAAGATCAACGGCTCCTGGATGTTCTCACCATTCTACAGGAGAAGGTTCTAAGTTGACATCCAAGTGGTCATGTGTTTGAGAAAAGAAACCAAAGTGAATTCACAACAGAAGCAGGGATGAACATCTCCCTATCAAATAGATGGAGGCATGCATGCATGTATACATGAATAAATGAGATGAATCCAACCAAGTATATCAAAGTCCAATATGAATGTTATTGTTTCTAATTCTATCAAGAACCCAAAAACATTTAAAGGAACAAAATCAGTTTCTGATTACTATTTACCTGCGTGCGGCCTCTTTGAACGAATGCACCAACGATTAGTGGAAAACTTGCGGTGATGCATAATACTCACTTTCTTTAAACACGGGTCTTAAATCTTCTTTGCACATAAAATCTAACGGGAAAGAAACAAGATGTCCCTTCACGCCTTCTAATCTATCAATCGGATCACTTCCCTTCCCATTTCCATCCTGATATGCTTCCAGCTTCTTTGGAGCTATACCTAGGTCGATCGTATTATGCCCTAGTTTGCCCTTCAATTCACTCATGCATTGCCTCAAAGATGCTCTGTGATTTATTTTCAAGATTCTTGTTGTAATCAATGGAATCTTAGACCATATAAAGGAAGAATGTATCAAAAACTGTACCTGGAATGTATAAGATCATTTGGGATGCAAGAGAAGACATCTTGGTAGATCATGGTGTTTGTCTGTCAATAGCAAATTGTATGAATGAAATTAGATTTATTCCTGATTTTTTTGGCAATTTGGTTTTCGTTTCAATCTCATGTGAAATTTTGATGACCACAACCAAACAAACCAATATATCCCACTAGAAAGTAGGGTCTAGGGTGGAATATATGCCGACCTGTCCTCTATCCCAAAGGATAGAGCGGCTTTTTCCACGAAGACCAATTTCAAGATATTTTCTTACTATAATTAAGGTGCCGTTTGCTAAACGCTTACCCGGTAAGTACTTACCGCGTAATTTTCCTCACCAGATGAACATGGCAAGGGCCAAGAATCTTACCCGGTGAGAGCGATGATAAGAATGGAGAGTCTTACCCGGTAAGTGAGGGTGACGACTCTTACCCGGGTAAGCGCTTACCAGGTAAATTGTTGCATATGATACGTTTTGATGTACTACAATCTTACCCAATAAAATAAATTATAGTGTTAATTCATAATGTTAAGCACTTACCGGGTAAGCATTTAGGTAAACGGCCCCTAAGATTCGAACTTTACCTTTGCGGTTGCTATCCATATGTCTTTGTAGGTAGAATCAATCACCGGATCAGCTATTTTGCTCATCTAGAAAGAGAGAGATATAAGCATAAGAAACTTTTTGGTACCGTCTGAACTAATATCATAGAGAAATAAGCACAACCTCACTACTATGAAGACCAAGGTGCTCAGACCATAGTGAAAGGCGAAGACTCAACGCAAATTTTCCAGCCCTCCAAGGGTTGCCTCCCATATATGATTCAACAACTTCTTTATCTTCAATAAGTACTCCGATCTGCAAATTAAATTTCTTCAAATGAAAGGTGCATTTGTGGGTGGACATGAAGCTTCATCAAATAATAACTGCACCTTGGTTCGTTTCAGGCGATGGAAATAGAAATGGAAATGGGAATGAGTTTCATTCCTCCCAATTTGTTGAGGAATGTTTTATTACTCGGTATCTAATAATGATCCATTCAATTGCATCAAATCAGACACCATTAATGAGTTTCATGTTCATTGCCCACCCCGTTTACCCCTAACCAAGCATCCCCTAATCGTTTTCCGCCCATTCATACATTTATTCAAGCAATATCTTACGCTAAGTAGTAGGCAGATTATTGTCTTAACATAAAAAGGTTGAATGATGAAAAAAAAGGCATCATATGCGTTACTTGGGATATATTCAAAAGTCATAACAATCATAGATGATGCCAAAGGATAAAAATTAAAATGATTGTGGCAAAGGATGCATGAATAACCTCAGAGTCACGTAATCCAAGTAAACTCCTGTCGTTGATATTAGCCGATCCAACCAACGCTGTGTTGTCATCTACTATCATAATCTTGCTATGCACATATACCTGGGTAGAAGATGACATATACATAGACAAAGGAAGGCAAGCAAGAATCAAATCAATGTGTATTTTACAATTCAATTAGATTTTCTATCAACTTCAACTCATTTTTCTGTATAGCAAACTTATTTTCTAGTGAAATGTGGCATAATGCATCGGAAAGGTCATTACAAATATATATATAGAGAGAGACAGGATCAAACGAGAATGGATCCCTTTTGAAAGGACACGAAAACGGGTAAATCACATGCAAGAACACATGTGATTTTACATTAACGGTCAAAAGAAGTGTCTGGGCGACAAGTGGCTGCGTCTTCAGGTCGCCGGGCAAGGTCACCTGAATCACATGTGATTTTAGTGTAAATCACATGTGATTCACCCATTTTTGTGTTCTTTTAAATAGGTACCATTCTCGTTTCCCTCTCTCTCTCTCTCTCTCTATATATATATATATATATATATAAACTAGTGTTTATTCTTCCGCTCTCCCTTGTTATCAAGAGCAGGTCTGATTCTTACAAACAGATTAAAGTTTAAACAGTAGCCACATCGAAACTAATTTCTGCAATTTTATTCAAAGAAACAAACAAACAACTTCCATCGAAATTAATCATCAATGGAAAGAAGAGAGTTGTATCTCATGCATATTTTGGGACAATCAATACAGTGAAGATAGCTTTGGAGTCATCAACTGTATCATTTTTTTACAAAATGCATTAGTGTGGTTATTAATGTATAAAAAATCCGAACTAGTTAATGCAGTTTTCCAGGATTTCACCACTCTATACAGGATGGAATAAAAGGTGCACATCTTTAATGATTTAATTCGTAATTGGCCCTCAAGTTTCTAAAAATTATTGTTTTCCAGCCATTTAAAAATGTTTATTGATAAAGAAGACAAGATCTGAACATGAACTAACAACAACCGACGCCACATTGACACTGGATTTTCTAAGAATACATCACAAGAAAGGTAATATATTATTGATTCCAAGCCATATTATTATGTGATAAGTGATTCTGAAGTGACAACAGAGAGCCAAATAACTCGACTCACTTAGGCAGATTGCATTCAGTTTGGCTAAAGCAAGAAAATAACCTCAAGTAAAATAGTTTAGAGGTAGAGGTTTAAAAAGATACCGGACTCGAGGCCACAAGACCATCTTCAGAAAGTCTACCATAAGCCCGGAGACCATAGAAAGATATGTAGTCATGAACTTTGGGACCAATATGTTGAGAGAGATTGTGCAATATGGAATTGTGTCCTCTTGATATTGTTCGATACTGCCAATGCATAATAGCTCTTACAGATGCTGCACCGCCATCATCTAGTCCACCCTGTAAAACTTGAGTCAGCAAAAACAACAAACGGAAAGCTATTAATATATCTTCTGATAAACGACCAAGCCTAAGCACCTGGAATCCAGGTAATAGAGGTATAACGACGATGACCCTAAAACACTGTTTTTCCTGATGTGCCCGCATAATACGCCTGTACACCGAGTCCAACACTCGATTCCGTATGATCTCATCTCCAGAAAGCCCTGAGATGAAAAATTGGTTCTGGGTACAAATTGTCATGCATAAAAGAGAAAGGTCAGAAATATGAATCCAATATAAGGTACAACAATCTGTGAATGGTGGCAACTATTTTCAGCAAAAGTTGGCATATCCATGGACAAAAATCATATATAAAAAGAAAAAAAAAACACCTTTAAAGATGTTCGTTGTGAATAAGGGACAAGCCTTGGAGCAACCATTAAGGTTACTCCTTTGGGACCAGAAGGTCATGGGCTTAAGTCGCGGAAATATTTTCTTTGCAAAATTCAAGAGATGGACTGCATACAAGGATTCCCTTCAATGAGGAGCCTCGGTGCATCAGGGTGGCCCTTTATATATTCCGAAATCCAGTGGTTTTGAATAATCTAAATAGCTTTCTTTGCAAAACGCAAGGAACAGACTGTAAAGGCTTCCTTCCATGGAGGAGCCTTGGTGCCAGGTGGCCATTTTTATATTTTTGAAGTCCTTATGCGAAAAATATTTTCCCTTTTAAGCTTCACTCCTCCTGTGGTAGAATCCATATACACTCAACACTTTCTACCAGTAGCAAAATGTTCCTGAACTCTTCCCCCCATTTAATATAGTATTACTAAAACTATTAACAAATCTAACAATGTCCCAGATGGATGAGTTATGACATACCTCGATGTAGACAAAGTGTTCTGCTTTCTCAATAAGGGAACAGTAAGCATTGTGAATGCTATCTTCAACTTGACTTGTCCCAGCTGACCACAGACTGACACTCCTTATAATCTATAAATGGAAAATCTCAGTTCCTAAATTATAAGGTGCAACTTAACGGCTGAAAAGTGCCAATCAAGAGAGAGAGAGATAGTAAAAGTTGGCAAAGTAAAAATAGGAAACATAAACTGCAATGCGCCAAACCAAAACATGATTTCCAGAAAATAGAGTTGTCAGATGAACCAAGTACTTGAATATGATCGAAAACCAAGCAAATCAATGAGAAAGTATGCACTACCCAAATTTACTTGAGGTCAAGACATATAGCAGCAAACTAGAAAATATTTTTAATCTACATCACGCATTAAATGCAGCTACCAAAGCCATGTACAAGATATGGCACTGGAGGATTCAGTGACTCCACAATCTTGCAAGAGCTTTTAACAGTATATCATGGAAACTACACTTCTTCAAAGATGTGAGAATTGCATTACAAACAAGGATAGTAGGCAACTTGCATGATGTCAAAGCATGTGCGGTTGTCCACCAATAACGAGCTTGACTGCTACAGAAATGTCACCACAGATTGAGCCAAGTACATGTAGCAACATGAAGATTTGATATTCACCATCCAAATCCTGATTATCAAAAACCTTAAAACCATACTTGTCCCCATTAATAGATGTATTCATGATGAGGTTCAAATACATACATCAGTCCAAGTAGTGAAAGTAATGTCCTCAATTACCAGGCTAGAAGTGGAGTCAAGCCAAGTTTACTTTCATGGAAGATAATTCTTGAAATTGGCCCACTGCTTAACTAGCTGCTTAATTTATAGACGATAGAACTGTTAAATATGACTCTTAAATCAGCCACTTTTCGGTGTAAGCGCATTCATGAATTGAGCTCTAGTCACATGTATAAGTACCCAGTCCAGGGGAGATCTTATGATACAAGTTCTGCTACTTGAAGATGCAAGTTGCCAAGAACAAGTTGCATGTGGCTGATGAATGAACCGTGTGACTGACACAAGCAACTTAAAGTCACATGTTTAATTAGAATGAAGGGCCTGACTGGTTTTATTGCGTTTTATAGGTTTCTTTGTTGGTTATCTTCTTCATATACATACACAAAACTTCCCTAAAACCCATTAAGGCTCCTGTAATTCCAGCTCTATTCCTCCTCGGATTTGCATCTTAACCTCTTCATTTATTAGTGGATTTCTCGCCTCCTCCATCAGTGGTCTTCTCCTGTTTTGGGGTTCCACGTAAATCTAGGTATTGTCTCATATCTGGATTGCTTTATTTCATTGCTCCAAGTTTATTACTTTATGATTCACCCTGATTGATTGATTGAGGATCAGATTTATCTTCCGCATTAAGAACCATATGAGCATTCAAGCGTGTTGATCATTGGAAAGTTGACTTTTATGCCTAGTTTGACTTTGGTTGAACATTGATTTGGGATTTGAAGTTAACTCACATTGGATTAATATCTACAACAAAAACTTTGAGTAAACATGGGAAGACCCTCAAAATAAGTTCATTGGTACAAGTTTTTCAGAATTATTCTCTGGTAGTAATAGCCAGGGGAGGCCTCTTAACGACATAGATACTTGGGCTTGTAAGGTTATTTCTGTATGTAACCTTCCCCGCTAGCCTTTCACTACAGTTGCATAGACAACCCAATATGGTATTATTTTTTATTTGCCACATTCTTTATTATTTCTGATATTCCCTCTACCTCATTTCTCGTCCAGTAAGCTACTTGTATTTATACTTACCTGGTATCATGGCATCAATGCCATCACTGTCAGAAAGACCTCCCTCATGTAGAAGTTAGACCTCATCATAAGCACAATGGTCTCCTAAGGATGTGGATGCATTGAAGTAATTCAAGGCTTGTAAGGCATACCACCTCGAAGTTGCAGTTTACTTCGTTTGGCAGGAAAGGAACATGAGAAATTTTAACAAGACTAGAAAGGTAGAAGTTCTGACCAATGTGATCATCCACACTGTTCAGCTTTGATTAATGAGCTTAAAAGAAAAGCTTTGCAGAAGGGTGGAGAATTTCCCTAAGTTGTCTACAAACAAGTAATGTTTTTCTTGCTGGGGTAGTTTTAGTTACAGGGTTTTGGGTAAATTATGTATAGATTGTGTAGAGAAAGCTGCATAGAAATCCCTCTTGCATGGAGTTGGGATGTTTTGGCCCTCTCCTATTCTCCCCCCCCCCCCCCCCCCCTCCTTTCTCCTTTTACCGTCTAATTCTTATCCTTCCCATCAATCAAAATTTCCAATCACTAAGCCAGCTTTTCCAAGAAAGAAATGCTAGCTCCTCAACAACAATTTCGAATGAACCAATGAATTTACAATTCATTGAGGTCTGTATACAAGAAAAATCCTTTAGCTTACCTAGATCAGAAGTCAAAACGTAGCAAATTGAAGTTTTATGAAGATTCAGACTACAGTATCGATGACCATGAAAAAATTCATATATACAAAAAATTAACTGATGTTATTCTTTCATTACCAAATGAATGCAGGGGAAACAAGCAAGATGAGCACATGGAAGACAAGAACTTCAAGAAAACACCAACAGTATGCAAATAATAACATAAAAACATGGGTGTTGCAAGATTTAAAGCACACCTGACAACGGCATATAGCACGAGGGCCAACCTGTCCTGTTTCATCAGCAGAAACAACTAGGTTACCTCGCTCCTGTGTCTCCCACCATTCTCTATCAGAAGATTTAATGGCAGGGTGCACCACTGTACCCGCGGACCTTGCTTGCTTAAATGTTGAGGTATCTTGCTCATCCACAAATCCTCTCATTGGCATATCCGAACCTAAAGGTTCACTTTTGGATTTTCGGAAATAAAAACGAGTCCTTGGCATCCTGCTTTGCTGACCATGAACATTGTGTGCCTTGCCCAACCCATTCTGTTGTGAAGTATGTCCACTAGAAGCATCCAGTCCATCAGCTTCTTGAGGGATTAGCAATGGGATGTCTTGGAAAGATGATAGAGAGCAATAAGAATCCTGTCTATTGATTGCTTTGGTTACGTCCAGGACTTCGGTATTTCCATCTTCTTGTTCTCTGCTGGTACCCATGTAATGTGGGATAACCATGTGCTGTTGAGGCATAAGTAGTGGTATTGTTTGCTCATTGGGAGCTTTATTTCTCTGAAAGAAATATAACCAAATCAAATCACAAGAATAATAAGAATGAGCGTAAATGTCACCTTTGAGGAAAAAGCAGAAACCTTTGCATAATTCCAACGCTGAACGAAGTGTCGAGCAATATCACGACATGGTGGTCCCCATAAGGCACAATGGACATCATGCCACGGCATACGAGGATATTTTTCACGATTCAGCTCGTCCTTCAAAGTATCTTCCCAAGAATTAGGTTCAGATTCCCTGTAAAATTGGGATCAAACTTTTTGAGGCAACACTCTAGGGGAAAGAGCTTATTCCTGAGGCTAATGGACATAACCAAGTGATTCCATTTATCATGAGATCATGAAAGTTATCTATTCATATTCTTGTCCATGAAGACCACTTCATAAAAGGAGAGTTTCCTTTTCTACACAATGAAAACTTAAAAAAATGACAGGTTGAAGCATGAAGTTCGTGGTATCAGTTCAACCAAAGAAACTAAAGTATCATGATGAAGAAGATGGTCGTATGTAGTAGGAAAAAGAGTATCACAATTGCATATTTGACCTAACAAGTACGATAATTATACCATAACTTCTGAGCTGGCTCATATCAGAATATGGAAAACAAATTACCTTGGGTTATAGTAGTCCTTTCCAGGCCATATCATAGGAGGGCGATCACCCACTTTGTGCTCATATGTATCATAACGACCAAAGCAAAGATCTAGTCCACCAATAAAGCAAACCTCGTTATCAACAATGACCAATTTCTCATGATGGGACCTATATTTTACCATAAGTAAAGTAATCAGTTGAAAAGATCAGCAAGAACATTAGAAAGATATGAATACTGAAAACAAAGTACAATGTAGTGGGGTTGCAATGACACTGCTTACCATAGATAGACACCGCTAGAGAAATGGTCTGGGTAACGTAAAACCTTGACATTCTCATGAATGGCAGCTAGCTTTTTCTTACTATAGAAGCTATTAATTTTGAGCGCAAGAGCAAGCTCTTTGTACATGAGAATATATATCTGCATTAGAAAATTTAACAGTAGAACATGTCATTATTTGCAATCACTGAAATACTTTAAAAGCAAATCCCACATAACAGTTATTGTGCAGAAGGAACTATTGTTTGTCTTTGTTCTTCTTTGTATTTTGTGACACTCGGTAACTAATTAGTTTGATACACATCGTTCAGGATTATAGAATAGAGGAACACTTCTGACAACATATGCAACTCGATAAAAGCTACTAGCATGTAGCCATCCCTCCCTCCCTCCATTCAGTTACTAATCTCTTGTGCTATTGCATTCATTTGTTCATCAACTCCTCTCTTGTGTACAAATATAGTATTCATTATTGTTGGTTGGCATCTAACAAGAAATTGAACATTTTACCATAGGGAATAAGGAGTTGCCAATAAACATAAGGCTTGCACTCATGTCATACACAATTGCATTACATCTACTAATAAGAAACCTCCTTGGTTGATTATCTGTGTTATTAGCAGGGTGAAAATAAATCCTTCTATCAGTTTAGCAAGAAAAAAAAAAGTTTCAGATGGTTGGTAATCCATGGTAGCGAACACTGTACTCGGTCAACAGAAAAGGGATATCATCATAGAGAATATAGAATAAGGATTCAGGAGCAGCCAATTGATCTGGCTTGAAAATCTACAAGAAATTGCCTTGGACTGCTCCTGTAGCAGAAGTGAAAAAAAAATCTTCATGTGATAATTAATTAGATAATATGTTCACATCACAACCATCCGGCCAACCAACTACACCATTTGTCGGAAAATAAATGAATCGTTTGCTCACAAGGTCAAAATAAAATCTTCACTTTAAGATGCAATAAGTCATACCATCACAAGTATATAAAAACGTCCCTGGGTTACGCCCCCAACTGTCATTCACATGCTATTGACAAAATTTACAAGTGAGGGTCTGAGCTCTGAACTATGCAATCCACAGTTTATTAACCTTTGTTAAGTGCAGGTTAGGACACGACTGACTAAAAATGCAAAAGTTATAGAATTTTATTAGCATGGACAATCAACCGCGTTAGCATTAAGGACGATTTAGGAGCAAAATTGCATTGTTCAGACCCTAATTTATAGTTTCATGTACAACTGATCTATCCATGACAGTTAGGGCGTACGCAAGACTACATTCTTAGAGGAAAAAATCCATTTTCCAATTGAAATCATAATACATTTCTTTTTATCTAAATTTTATATAAAAGCCATTATATGTCATTACGCTTACCACATACCTAATATATGAAATAAATAAGAGTTATAAGAGAAGATCACATTGTTGCAATGTTGCTCTTTATTTTGAATCAAAAAATAGAAAACAATTCCTACATACTGTTTAGCAATGTTTAAAAGTAATTAGCTAAATGATTTGGAACAAATTCAGTAAAATCATGTATTCTATCATCATTTAGCTCATCTTATTTGAGTTTAAGGGAGATCTAGAAAGCTAACTATAGGAAAGTAAGTCCTTTATCATGACGAGATAGAGTTGAGGGTAATCCTGAACGTGCTATGCAGATTCATCCTCGGCGAATTGAACATTGCAGTCAGATAAAAGAAGTCATGTGTTCGGAACCAGCCTACCGCTTAGACAAATTTCAAGTTCCATAATTCTCAATGGATGTAATGCAGTTATAACTAAGAAGAACCAGGCCTACCTGAACGCCTTGCTTGGCTTTTGCCTCCAGTAAAGCATCAAGGCGAGTGGTTGCATTGGAATGAAAAGGACGCCGCAAATACAGTTCCGGACACAGCCACCACCCACACATAAATATCTGCATGAAACCCACAATCATCCAAGAGTGTTTTGAACTGATTAATGGTAATCAATCACAGAGAACTAATTTTGATTATGCTAACGAGACAAGAAAAGAACCTCTGATTTTGCCTCTTCCATTGCCAGAGCAATTGCGTCAAAAGCTGCACGGCCGTCAACAAACCACTGAGCCTGACTATCATCATCAGTCAGACCACGAGGTGGAGCAAAAGAGCCAAAACGATGAGGATGACACCAACCCTCAGGAGGCCGAAGCCCAGCATCATTAATTGCAACAACCCAAGTTATGGCTTTAGCTTTAGTCCTACATCTTAATGTTATTCTTCGGTTTCCACTTGATACCTAATGTCATTTTCAAGGTCAAGAAGGATAAGTATCAGTGTGTTTTAAGTGTTGTGTGAAGAAAATTAGTGCAAAAGACAGCATGACGTCCCAATGCGATTAGAAGATCTGAAGATACCAAGTGGAGGTGAGAGAAAATATGAATGGTAAATCCACTAAAAAATTATTACCCAATTTGTTTCTAACAAAGGATGTCAATAGAAAATCCACCAACAACTTGTAAATTGTTCAATCATTACTGTCAATCTTTATAATTTCTAATGGGTTTCAAATCTAGTGCCCTGTAACTACTTCAGTTGAAAAGGAATGTTGCTGTCTCTGTCAATCATTCAGAAGAACTTTTATGCGCAATGCAGTGCCACCAACTCCAATGTTCCTGGAGCTATTAAGTTGAACCATAATAAACTCCAATGAAGTAATTGATCTCAAAAGGTCGCCAAGTTAGTTCCTACATAAATGTAATAAATCCACACCACACAAGGTTATCCAATCACCATGCAGATTCTTTCAGTTAATCTCATATATGGCATTCTAGTCGTAGCTTCATGCAGGTGCTACATACATAAAAAATTTTAACTTAATACTGCTTCATATCCGAATAAAGAAAGAAAGAAGTGGTTATTTCTGTAAGTTCAAGATGAAATTATTAAGACTGCATTACAAAACCAGTACTAAGTTAGAATATCAATATACATGTCTTAAAAAGAAAAAATAAATTCTTTTATGCAGCTAAATTTTGTGCTACGTAACAAAAGCATACTGGGTTATACCCAAACACAGATCACTGGGTCAGTCAGGGTTCTGTTTCTAACAATCTGGGGGTAGTTGAAAACAGAATCTTCATACAAGGAGTCAAGGCCCGTGTCTTCATTTTGCAAAATCATATCTGCCTTTACAAAATGAAGTCTTGACCCACAGAAAGCCTTACCATGCAATGTCAACCTATATGACTTCACAAATTTGTGCACAAGCGGATTGTTTGATGTTCTCGTAGCAATTGATGTGTATCAAACAAAAAATGATTACTTATATACTACCCACCATATAGCAAGGCATGTCTACAAGGCTGACATTATAAGATATAAATTGAAAATAAACATGTCAAAGAAATCAATAAGAACAGACAATTTGGAAAGGAGAGAAGTAACAACTTTTAAATGAATTGCCGACTTACTATGATTCAAGTGACTACAGTACATACATGAACAATGCAACAGTTACCAAGTAGATACATTCCCTGTAGTCAACAGAAATATACTTGATTTTTCTGCTAAATCACCTGCTAATGTATGTTAAAAAGTCCCATTACACTTGCCTCAAATGAATGCCGTAAGGGGTTACGTTCGTTGATTTCATTTGCTAATGACATTCGACCTTCTCCATTCCCATCTTGCGAAGGTAGAACATCAAACACAATAATATCTAATGGCTCCTTGTCAAATGGGTCTTTTAGCAGGGCCAAGAATCCAGGTTTCAGAACAGCCCAAACCTGCAGAAAATTTGGGGACACTGTAAAGACACAGACAGATAATCTCTCAGCATACCCAATTACTTGATAAACTGGTAGAGGAACAGCTACAAATATTCGTAAGCTTAATCCACATTGGCCAACTGCAGTTCAAACGGATAAAGCAGGCAGAGAAAATAACCAGAGAATGGACAGAATAACTATCCCTGGTACGGTATCACCGGCTTTTGGTAGTAATAGCTGGGTTGCAATGCATTATCAAATATAAGTAATTCTTCCGCCACAGTTGCTACCAAGACCCATACAACTCTTTTTCATGCACCATTTAGGTGATCTAATCAAATCATTCTATATTTGATAAAGCTTGTTTAAAATTTGAGTTAGCACCGTACATTTTTTGAAGTTCAACAAAAAAAAATACCTACACTCCTGAAGAGAGTAACAAGCATCACAAAAGTTAAACTACAGAGAAAATATATGAATGAAATTGTTAGGCTTGATTAATCCAAACCTAAGACTGAAAGTGGAACTGGCAATCGCAGCAAACCCTGACTGCCAAACCAGAACGAAGTAGTCCATTTATATCAATTTACTTCAATTCTATTTTTGGGCCGAAGACCACACCATAAGCAAACCTCTACCCCCTTGTAGTGATTTATCATTCAATGAATGATTGAAAAATTATCTACCAAACTGTTTACATAAACTCCATGCCACTTCATGTGACTCAAGAAATCAGAAGACACCATTCACCAAGGACCTCCCTCCCTTCCTCTTTAAATTTTTATTTCTTTGGTTAAAACAATGCAGCCTATGTCTACCCCGGGGAGGCTCCCTTGCCCCCTCTCAAATAGTCAAATGTATTTTGTAAACAATGTTTATCTTTACAGCCTACCTTAATGTGTCCTAGAGATATGGTTACCAAAATAGACTTCTCAATAATCTGCAAACACCACCAAATTTCAAAATCATGGTCTGTGTAAAAGTTAAATTATTACACAATTAGCTCTATGATGATGTGCCAGGCAGAACATTATCCTAACAGTGGGTAATCATTTGTATTAATCCACTTCATAATACATGTGTTTTATATATAAAACGATGTCAAGAAAACCATGGTGTACAACCACTTGGTATCACTCAATCAAGTGATGGTAGCATGGTAGACAAGAAGCCATATATGAATTCATAGACCTAAAGAAGCATTTTACACAAGTGGATAAAGTAAATTAAAATGTAAAGTACTTTTAAACTCGTCATGGTCTAAAAAGGATAATAGTGAGGGCGAAAACATAAAATAATGGAGATAGGGATGAGAAACAATGCACCCACACAACGGATTGGCCATAAGATCATGCTCAGGCACAAAATAAATAACATCTCTCTATGTAACCCGAGGCGTCACTGAAATTGGTAGCACTCCCTCCAATATCTAGCAACTGTCCTCTCGGACTAGGCACACATGGGAGAATTAAAAGAAACGGGAGGAATAAAAGTCACTAACATGGGGAGTCTGGTAAAATATTTTTTTATGGAATGTCTTTGAGTGCACTACGAGATGAACTTTGATAAGTTGAAACTGAATAGAAAATCCAATCACAAGTTGGTTGAGCATGTAGATCTGATGTGCACATAGATCTAAACTACAATACTGCCTCTCAGAAAACTATAATATCAGATGGTTGGATTAGACCATTTATATTTTATGTGAACAGGTTGCACATTCCAAGTTATGAATAGACTTAGATACGATATATAACTACAGGATCTGGGTGCTTTAGTTTTTATGCTGCATAAGAACCAGCAGGTGCAACTGTTCTAATACAACCTCCACAATAAACAGATACCCACATGAGTAGATTAAGAGCAGCCAAAGTATTAACTTCTATATGGGACACTGATACCTGTTGCCAGGTGTCATTACAGCAATTGAGCCATTGACAGGCAGAACATAGCCTACGGTCATCATTGTTTGGGAAATTTGGTAAGTGTTTCACCCATACATATTCTTCTTTATGCTTGGAACCATATTCTGGACAAAAAGATAACTTAGAAGCCTCCAAAAACCTGCAAACCTGCAATCAAGATAGTTCATGTGCATTCATATGAATGATTTTAAGGCAATGCTCAAATCCAGCAAGAAATTTACTCGTGCAATGTATTTACACAAGATATTGACATATATAATAAGATAGATAAAAAAATGCTGGTCAATCAATAACGCATGAGTGTGCTATATTTTTAGAGTACAAGTCAAGAAAACTATGTAACAAGAACTCGAACCAGACCTCTCTGGAATTTGCAATGTCCAGGTTTCCAAGAAAATGATTTAAATAGCCCTGCATTGCTGTCTTGGCTCGGTCTGACATGGAATGTTGCCTTCCAAGTGCTGGGCGTATAATTGGCAGTGCTGCCCTTGATGGAACATCTCTGAACAAAAAACCACCTGTAAGAATTATAATCATTATAGCAAGAAAGGATGAATTAACACTACACTAATCCTGAAAAGTCAAGCTATTCAGCAATCACCTGTTTTTGACACTCTCATCGTTGTTTACCGGTGAGACATCGTCATCAGGTGGTTCATCCAAGTCATCATGCACAACTGAGTGATGATCCATTATTCCTAGGTTTTGAAGCCATTCTTTGACCTTCAAGTGGAAGATCACAGATAAGGTAAATCTAATAGCCAGTTTGCCTCAACTTGAATGCATTTATACGACTTAATAACAATAGAATTATGGTCAAACAAAACTGGTCTAAGAAGAAGACAAACTCACCTGCTCTTGTTTTTCATGAATTTCTTCAATAAAGGCACGTTTCTTCAAAGCAAAGTGTAGATAAAATACATGTGAAGCCTTCTTCACTAGTTGCCACTTGAACTGCCGTCCCATAGTACACACGCAGAGTAAATCAGTAAAAACAGAATTGGAAAATGAATTGCAATCTATGTAAATGGAGGTCATGCTACATCCAATTTCTTTTTTATGTCCCATCTGATTAGTCGACTCGACCCCCATATCATCCGATTGGAATGGGTCCCTATAGAAAACTTGGAATTCAGGGATTTGATTCTGTTTCCACGTTTCAATGACATAGATCAAAATGAGTAATAACGATGAATTGCTGACCTCCAGAAAGAAAGAGAAAACAACTTTCTGAAAGGAATATAGATTCATTCGTGCATGAAAATCGCCATAAACGTAATTACTATCATCATAAAAATAATTGTATAAAATAAGACCTGTTTGTATTGGAAGTCGATAGTGTAAGAAAGGAGGGCGGGGCTGATATCACCGGCATCATGACGAGATACTTGAACGATTGTAGCCTTTGGCAGCTCATCGAAAATTCTACTTGCCTCAGGCGGGTTCTGAAGCGAGAAGAACGAGGACATTCTCGACGGCTCCGATTGCATTTGCAAATACCGAGACCCACTCCCCCCTTCAGGCATTAATTGCTCGTTTGCCATTCTATCACACAGTTGCGATCAAAACAACGAGGAGCATGAAATAGATTATGTTTTGTGTACCGGTTTGTATGTGTCTTTTGTCTGTTTTGGATCAAACACAAAGCATTGAAAAAGTGAGATTGAATTTGATTTCCAAAAGTTAAGGAAGAATTTGTGAGTGATGAGGAAAATTGTCAAAACCTGGAAAGTGATTCTGAATGTGTTCCGGTGGTGTTATGGAGTGGATTTCTGATGGGTCCCGATTCTTCCGTCGGATCGGGTCTGGCTTTTGGGCCATTGTCGACATCACACCGGATCATTTAGTCGAGGCGGCATACCCACGATTTGAACCTTTTTCTTACAGGTTGTTTTTCTATTTAACACGTGTTTTTCGTGTTGGCATAAATTGGACAAGCATTCGTATTACAAGGCTAACCATGCATATTAATATTCCAAGCTTTTTCAATATTTTAAAAAAGTAAAATTATACCACTTAAAACTCTAGAAAAAATATCAACTAAAAAATAAATTGATAATAAACAATATAAAATGAATTAACGAAATAAGGTTGTAATTGGATGCCAAGTGGCGTTCAAGTTCTACGTGGCACAATGTTGGTGAAAGACTGAATGAAAAAAGTCAAACATCTCCGCCCGACACCCGACTCGGATCTGATACGAATGGTCAGAACTGGACGCAACCAAATTTGACTCGCAACTTGAGACTGATCCTCACGCCAACGATTGGAATATCTACTTCAAGATCTCGATTTCCCCTGCACATCCATCGATCGATCGACCGACCACAATCACGGATGGAAATTTCGTTAATCTCTGATACCCTGACGACAATCGCCACGAAATATGGCCATGGATTAGGGCTTTCCAATTTCGTCACGGATCGTACCCACTACGATCAACAGCTTCAAATCTACGCCATAATGGTTCCGATCGACGCCATAGCTCCACCGCTTGTTAAACCTAGAACAGCTCCCAAGAAACTCGCTAGAAAACGTTGTCGTGTCAAGAGAAGCTCCAAAACCGATGGAGATGATGCCTATGTCGATGAAGATGGAGGGGGCTTCTTCGACGGTGGCGATGGTCCGTTTGGTGGCGGCGGCGGTGGTGCTGGAGGTAGTGGTGATAATTTCGATGGGCTTAACTGGGACGAATCGTTGCCGGCTTCGCCATCCGATCCGGCCTTTGATTTTGTATATGAAGTGCTTTGCTGGATTGTTTTTTCGAATTGCTTGCACTTTGCCTTCAAGAGGGTGATCAGGATTTTGGCTGATGGAGTTGCTGATCCTGAGAGAAGGAAGGTTCCATTGAGGTTTACTCCAAGCTGGTAATCTCCACTATCTGTCTCACTTGTTCTGAATGAATAACTCATTCTTTTACCAGTATGTCCTTTGGTTCTGATGTAAATGGTGTATATAATTGGCTTCTTCATGTTTAAGATTTCAGTATATTAAATGTTACTTGGCAATGTATATAACAAGAACACAGTTGGGTAGGTTACTTTCATACTTCCAATCTTTGCCTATTCCCAACTAAGTGTCTAAACTATAAAGAAAAACTAACTTGTTACATCGGTTGCCGATCGGTGATGCAAAATGTGAGTTGATTGATGTGGTATTGTGCTTTGCAAAGAATGTTGAAGGCATGTTCTTTGAAAATGTGCATATGCATTATATCATGAGCCATGGGATATAATAAGTTGTGCCAAGTGAAGAACAGGGTGGATGATTTATTTCCTTCTCACAGCTCCCTTTTATTTCCTTAAGGGTTGTTTACTTATAACTTTATGAGCTTAATGGTCTGGACGGCTTATTCGCTTAACGAATAAGAGTTTTTTTTTTACCTCTTAATCGTGAAGCCATTAAGCCAAAATGGCTATATGGAATAAGCCAAAACCCCTCACTTGTCCCCATTAAGCCAACTCAAACAAATTATACTAGAAATGCCCCATAAATAATCCAACCCTTTCTCTTTACCTCCCTCAACCCCCTCAGTCTCCCGTCCTTCAGATTGTCAAATTTATTCAGACAGACAATTTAACCTGTACAAGCTTAGTGAAAAAAAAAAAGAGTAAACATTCCCTTACTCACATGTATTTCAGTACTTTGTCTTCTCTACTTATTGTCTATGTGATTGTCGGATATGTCATCCAAATAGAGTTGACATGTATCTTGATGAACTTCTTTTGCTGAGGTTTCAATACTTTGCTAATGTTTCCTTGTTACGTTATTTTGTTTATTGAGGTTCGTATATATATATATATATATATATATTATGTATGCACGAGTGTTTTTGTATGTATATATCTGCAGGACCAGCTTTCAATATACTTTCTAAATTCTGAACCCATGCACCCTATACCCTCACTCGTTCTTCCTTGCCTGGGGTACAAATTGTTTTACTTTCAGGTACAGATTCCTCCAAGAAAAGTATACTTGTGAGTCTTGACAATGATTACACACAACGCTGAGATAAAACAAAGCCACATACTTAAAAATCGATTTTTACTTGTATCAAAGGGTAGAGGATCCTTAATCTAATAAGCAACTGCAACTCTATATGTCTAGGATATTGTAATAATAAATAATGGTTTGACACACGCAGGTCACGCTTTAAACGGTTAACACTTCCCCTTGTTATGGATACTACCATTTTTGAGTTGTATGCCTGTATATGTGTGTGCATGTATGTGCATGTGTGTGTATCTTGTACAGTTGTATGTTTATATATTTGCAATGAAAAACATAATGAAAATTTCAATAGATGTGAATGTGATGGTTGGGTCTTTTATCATTGCGTTAGATATTTGAGGTTTCGTGCCCATCTACTGAATGATCGATGTGAATCTGTTCTAAGAGTAAGTAGTAACTGAAAATGTAAAAAGTAGATACTCATATTGATGTGTGAGGAGAAAATTAATAGATAAACCTTCTGATTGCATTACGAAAATCCAATCTGTCTTGAATTACATCAATGGGCTCTCCCAATCAAACTTCGATCTCTCATAACCATCTTCTCTCTCTTTCTCTTTATCATCAGCATCAAGTTTTCCACTCAGCTTCTGTCGGATCAAAGATGCATTTAGCCTAGCCCTTTTTGATATTCATGTTCTATTACCGCCATTTTTTCCTATAAAATAAAATGAAAATTGGAACCCTAAAAAGCAACAGTAAACCCCAAGGATTATTATGGTGGATGATAAACTCTGAGCTTTACAATTTATATAATGACAATAGATCATTTTAGAATTGAAAACATCTAAGGATTAAGAGGTACAAACATCCAAGGACTATAACACAAAATTTAATAACTTTAAATAAATACCGACGCTTTTCATTTTGATTTTAAAAAAATTGATAAGTTTTAATTAACATTTATATAGGGCGTTTACGTGTAATATATTGTTGATGTGATATTTCTTATTACTATATTGTACTTTAAAAATTTTAACTTTA